CCCTACTGCCCAGAACTGCCCTGTGGGTGTGTTTCTATTCTAGAAATGCCTCCATGTTGCTGTATGTAATCCCAGCCTGAGGAATGCAGCTCTGCTGCCTTCTAGTAACTATAGCCATGACATCCATTCTGCCCTGAGTGGAGATCTTTTGTGAGATAGGGGTAACTGTAAGGGGTTACATGAGGGAAATGGGTACAGCCCAAAACCTGTGTTTTTAAGATGGAAGCAACACATCTGAGCCACCTCCTTGTCTGTGTGCAGGCACCTGCCAGGCCCTTTCAGTGCTCACTTGAGCTGTGCTGAGAGCTGGCAGATGTTAGCCACTGCCACAGCAAACAAGCCTGTCCCATTTGCCAGGTGACCCTTCTGTAAGGGTGGCTCTGGTTTCCTAGTGCTGAAACTGCTGCTCCACCATCCTGAGTCCCATGGGACTTTGGATGCCGTGTAGCTGCACATGATGCCACGCTCTTCTTTCCTGCTTGGCTTTTGGGAAACTGCTGAGGGCCTTTGGTTACTGGTGGTTTTGTCTGTTCCTGGTCATAGCTTTCATGCGTTGTATCGAGATCTCCACCAAGTCATCATGGCTGCAGACAACCAGGAGGACCTGAAGTGGTGGCGCAACACCCACGGACCAGGCATGGCGATGAACTGGCCTTGCTTTGAGGTGAGGTACCATTCTGGAGTGTGGCTTTACCATTTCCAAACCCTTAGCTGCTCTACTGAAATTGGACTGCTAGTTTTGTGTTGGAAAAGCCATGTTGCTTGGCAGGCACAACTCAAGTATGACCTGATGTTCTGTCCCTCTCTATTGGTCAGAAAAGGCACGCAGAGGTTTTGTATCTGAGTGGCTTGATGGTGTTGTTGCTTCTCCCTGGACAGGAATGGTCCCTTGAAACACAGAGGCCAATCACCAAGAAGGAGAAGAGTGGCAAGATGGCTGATGATGTCACCCTGACCAGCATTTTGCCTACACGGGACGGTGTTGTCTCACAGACCCCTCTGCAGACCAGGCAAAGGTACAGGCTGAAGTTTGGGATGCATCAGGTTATGAGAAGTACAGTCCTGCCTAGGCTCTGGAAGGAGTTGGATTGACAGGAGCCATCTCTTCCTGAACGTCCTCTCTTGCCTGTACCCCTCTGGAAGAAAGCAGGGTAGAAAGGGGCTGCTTTGGTTTTGGTGGGGTTTTTGTCTAGAACATCCTGCCTTACAAGGTGCCTTCCTTGTAAAGCTACTCCTAGTGATGAGTTCTGGCCTGGAGAGACTAATGCTGTGTGAGGTTCTGGCATGCTTTTCTCCAGCTCTTCTTCCTCCCAGACAGGGTGAGGAGAGTTGGGAACTGGCGAAGAAAGCAGGGTAGAAAGGGGCTGCTTTGGTTTTGGTGGGGTTTTTGTCTAGAACATCCTGCCTCACGAGGTGCCTTCCTGCTATTTCCTAAATGCAGGCATCAGCCCTGGCATGACTACCTGACAGGTCTGGCTATAGCTGCTTCCCTTGCCAGGAAGCAAGCTGGAGAGCAGAGAGAGGCTGAAGAGACTGATGTTCTACAGTTCCAGTAGCCATACTGCTTTAGAAGGTCAACTCTGGCCTAAGTGAACTGGGCAGAAAAGAAACAGGGATAGAGAATGGTCTCAAGGCCACTACTGTATTTGCCTACTGGATTCAGGGACCCTATTTGCCAATCTACAGGTTTTCCTATCAAGAGGAGCAGAACAGCCTCTTCTGTGACAGCCTGAGGGCACCTGCCCATGTGAAGTTAGTATGGAACACAGGCTCTTCAGGGGTTTTGGGGTTCCAGGTGCATGTCCTCTGCTATTCTCGCTCTCTGCTCTTGTTCCTGACTTGGAAAACAGCATTCCAGACATCTCTTTGGGATGGGAGACATGGCTTTTCCTGTCTGCCTTATTCCTGGCTGGAATAACTCTGGACCCAGCTGGGCTCTCCAGTTAGGACTGGCCTTTGTTGTGTGAGAGGGTCTGCTAGACTAGGAGGAGGTCGTGAAGGCTCTGCATGTGTGCAAATCCTTTGAGAATTAGAGCCCTGAGGGCCAGGAGGGTAACTAATCCTGAGATGCTTTCAACCAAATCTAGTGTCTCTTGGTCTCTCTCCTGCCTTTCCACCCTCACTTGGCTGTTGGGCCTCACACCCCCTGTTCTCTAGCACAGCGGTCTCAGGGGAAGAGGGAGCGGTGCATGGCTCAGGAGGAGGTGGGGGAGAGATGAGTCCACTGACAACCATCTCATCCCTTCTCTCCTTCCCCACCCCAGCGGAGGGAAGGAGGACATTTCGGAGTGGTCAGATGAGGACACTCCCAAGAAGTGCCTGGAAGCCAATGGGCACGAGGAGGACATCAAGGTACCGGGCGTTCGGGTGCGAGCGCTCTACGATTACACGGGACAGGAGGCTGATGAGCTGAGCTTTAAAGCAGGTACAGAAGCACTAACCTCTTTCTAACCTTTTGCTGTCCTCACTTGGGCTGACTGAACGATTGAAACACTCTTTAAGAACTGGATGTCCCCTTGAAAAGTGATGTTTAACTCTTCTTCCCCTGGCCAGACCTACTGCTGGCTCCTCTGATGGACAACACATTGGAGAGTCCAACTTGTTCTAGACTGAGAGAGGCCACATCAAAAGAGATTGTGTAGGCCTTGGTCACAGTGCAGGAGGAGCAGAGCTCAGGTGGTAAAACAGATCCTTCCTGCCTCCTCTTAAGGTGTTGATTCTGCACTGTCTCTTGAGACTTTATTAAATGCTTTGCCCGTGTGCCATGTATAATAAAATTATACATGGGTAGTCTGGATTGTCCTTTGAAGCAACCAGAAGATGACTCTTTTTTGAGAAAGCTCAGCTGACTGACATGCACTAGCAAAGGCAGAGTTCAGCTGGCAAAAAACCAGCTATGCAAACTGTTCCTCAGAATGAGTATCTTGAGAGAGGAGATGCTGGCTCACAGCAGAGGACTGAGTGAGAGAATGCTGGAGCAAACTGACCCTTCCCCTTTTCTTCCTTTGGTTAAGTTTAGTTTCTATGTGCCATCTTAAACTGCAAGAGGACATCTGGACCTTGAGAGTGTCTTTAATCTTGCTTGGTTTGGTACCTCTGTGCTATCTCTCTCCAAAATACACCCATTTTTAAAAGGTACTGAAGCCCTTCAGTAGCAGGGGCTTGTCCCTGAGGCCAATATCTATGCTGCAGTGTTACCATGCTAGTAAACTTCCAAACACTAACTTGTTGCTTTAAAACATCTTACAATATGGGTGCTCTAGAACTTGACTCTTTACTCTTCCTTTTCACCCAGCAGATGTAATGAGCCGTGGCTGGTTAGCTTTAGTCATTCCCTTTGGGGATCTGCTCTGAGCAGCATGCAGCAGGAGGGCTGAGGCTGAACAGCAGATGACTTGGAGCCTCTGCTGGGGTGGGATGTGGCTATTGATGCAGTCAGACATCCCCCTTGGGCAGGAGTATGACCTGCTGCTGGTGGAGGAGACCTTTCTGCCCTTTTCCACAGTACATGTGGGAAGGTTAAAAGCCTTTCCTGGTCATAATCTGAAAAATGAGTTGATTCCATGGCTTGCTGGGCAAACCACAGTCCATCATGGAATAGTCATTTTGGGTCCTAACAGCCAGAGCTTAGCCTCTTCCATGTCCTTCCTACCTGCTCCAGAGGAGCCATCAAGAAGGGAATCTCTGAGATTGTTCTGATCTCTGTGCCTTGTAAACATTGCTCTGGGGGAGGAAAGCAGGCAGAAATAGAGGGCACAGAACTATCTGATGTTGGGCAGCAGATGTGAAGGTCTGTCTCCAAGTTCCTTGGCTTAGGGGGTGGCACTGAGCATAGACACTGAAGATGTCTGTGATTCTGGCTTTGATTAAACTGTGCAGTATGATACAGAGTGTGATTAAAGGGAAACAAATGTGGTGTGTCAGACCAATAGGTCTTGCTTTTTATCAGCTCTTCTGAGGCAGGGAAAAATGCCCTGCTGCCTCTCTCAAGGCTGCTTCCTAATGACTGTTTTTGCTTTTAGGTGAAGAACTAATGAAGATTAGTGAGGAAGATGAGCAGGGCTGGTGCAAGGGCCGACTTCTGACGGGCCAAGTTGGACTCTATCCTGCTAACTACGTTGAGATGGTTGGATCATGATTGCTGCTGCCCTGCTTAGAGCCATGCCAGCATCTCCTGCAGTGGTCACAGGCTCACTGCTGGCCCTAATCATCTTTGCCATATATCCAGCAACTTCTGGACTTTGAGGGCACATATTCCACATCACTAATGCTTCATTTTAAATGCCTAGACCTGTAGGGATTTTCTAATGAATAAAAAAAGGATGAGTAAAGGCTTTTCTGGCTGCAAGCACTATAGAAGGGAACACATCTTCTTGACTTGTACTTGGTGATAATGAAGTGATATGTGTAACACCTCAAAAGAGAGCAAGCAGACTTCCTTGGCCTCCATGCACACACATCCATAGGGTGGAGGGGTCTGCCCTGCCCCCAGGCTTCCTCTGCAAGGAACTTGGGATGTGCAGTGTAATAGGGAACTTCTAGTATTGCTTCCTCTTTTTGGCTCAGTCCAGCTGACTGGTAGAAATCTATTTATTCTCAATATGTAATGTTTCTAGACTGTTTTGGCTTTACCTCTCTTCATGAACACTCCTTTTTTTCCTTCTCCTACATACTCCTGAGTTAAACATGCTGGAAGTGCACTCCCTGCTTGGCCAAAGGCCCCTGCACTGTGCTGAGGGGTCCCAGAGTGCCTGCTGCCTGGCACAGTGTTACCTACAGAGGTATAACTTCTGCTCCTGAGCTGCTACAGGTGTACTTATGCCCCTGGAAGTGCCCTTCAGCAGGGAGGACCTATCAAACCCCTGCATCTGGCCTGTCTTTTTACCCTTGAGAGACAGCCTCTGAGCCTGCTGAGACAAAGTGGGCTCCTGCTGGACATGTTCTGTATAGGATAAGGCCAAGAACTTGAACAAAAGAAGGAAAAGCTACTGTTTGGGAGAGAACAAAACCAAAGAATAGTCTTAAGAACAGTTTACTTAGTACATCTGTTTGAAACTGGTGTGGAGAAGCATTTTTAGTTTGCAGCAGCCTTCTGTGGTGACATTCTTATTCTGGGCTAGCATGTGTGAGAAAGTTGGTGAAGTGAGGCTCAAAACTCACAACCCTCCACCCACCACACTGAGGTGATCTGCTTCAGAGTGTTTGTACAAGGGGTGATGCAGAGGAGGAAGTCTGAAGTTGTCAGTGAGCATTTAGGGTTAAACAACTGCAGAATGTTAGCAGCTAGTGGAGCAAGATTGATGTGGGGAGGGCCAGATTCAAACACTCAACTTAGGAAAGATTAAAGTAGCACAAACATCTTGTTGCCTGCCTGCCAGACAGAGCAGAAATTAACCTTTTCCTGCACACTGCATGCCTTGAAATGCAGTCTGCCACGGGCAAAGGCCTGAGACTGATGCTGTGGAAAGGTTTTGCTCTCAGTATCCATAGCATGGTGCTTCCTGAATGGTGGGAGAGGGCTGCAAACCAAAAGACTTCTGAATCTGTAATGTCATCTCTCAAGAAAAGAAAAAGTATTCCTAAAAAGCAATTGGAGAGCTAAACAACAGCCATTAAAACCACCTAGATTTACCTATGAATTTACCTGTTGTTCTAGGTCCAATATTTGAAGAAATCTCTAAGCTTATGCCATGTAACTAGAGGTGCTGGTGGATAGGTACTTGGATTTATTTGAAGATCTAGTCTCTGCTTTCAGTTCTGTGTCCCAGCTAAAGCACCAGTGGTGTTGTACAGTAACTTGCTGCCCCACAGCTGAATGATTTGTTGCTGCTTTGTCCTGGCATTTGAGATGTGCTAAATGACAGCTGAAACTTTCCTTGTTAGCCTGGATATTTTCAAATACTAATGTTAGTCTTTCATGCAAGGTCAAAAAACTCTCAGAGGGCGTTCCAAAGGACAACACAGAGGCTTGACTTCAATTCTTCTGAGCTCTAGTCAGGCTGTAATTAGGGATGGAGTTAGGTTTGGCCAAGAACATGCTATGACAGAAATGCCCAGTTCACAGGACCTCTGATTACAGTACAAACAACCTGAAATTCCACAGGACAAAGTCTGAACAGGCTTGTTTGTCCTAGGAAAACACGACCACCTGATCATAGTGGGTTGCTTGAAGGTTTCCAGAGATAGTGACATGCTGCAGCTTATGTGAACAAGTCCTCTAAAGGAATGTTTGCACATCAGGAACTCTTGCCAAGAGCTGAAGTAATGGACAGGAGACAACACACTGAGAATGAGGAATTGCTTGGCTTGACTGTACCTCATAAATTTTGGTGTGGCACTTAAGACCTGGCTACCCAAAACCAAATGGATGAGTAAAAGAGACTGTGTAGTAAAGAACCAGAAGGGGGTGAGGGTGGACACAGACTCAAACACATCTAATGGGTTTATATTCAACTAATAGCTCTGCCTGGGGACTTTTCCATAGAAGCAAATGAGGTTTTGTTACCACAAAGGCTCTTGTTGAAACTTAGCACCCATGCCATGCTAAGTTTTGTGTGAGAACAGAGACATGAGCCAATTGCTGTGCCCAAATTCCAGAAGGCCAGCAAAGCCCATTCTTCTCTCATGGCTTCTGTAGAAACATCCAGATGCACCTCTGCCTGATGGGCAACACAATGAAAACATTATCTAGTCTTTTTGTTTTACTAAAGCCTCTCCTTGTGGAAAGCTTATACATCTGTGCTTGGCAGATAATTAATTTGGTTCTGATAGCTTCCTGGAAAATAATTGCTAACGTATCACACAAAGCTTGGATTTCCTGTTGATCATGGATTTTCTAGGAAGGGGAAGTCAAAGATTCTCTATGACAGATCACACCCATTTCCCCAAAGCAGCAGCTGAGCTTGCTCAACCCACTAATGATGTTTCTGCCCTGTAGACAGATTCTGGCTGGCAGAACCCACAGGACAGCTGTGTTCTGTGATGGCAGCTGAGAGCTGTGGTTGGTTTCCAGCTCTTAGTGGCACTCCCAGAGGGTTGTGTGGAGCCTGGGGCCGTTGGTGCTGTAGTTTACTTTCCATCCCACTTCCCCCTCCCGTGTCCTTGTTGTGGCTGTTTTGCTTGGCACAAAGCACTGAGGCAGGTGCAAGTAGGTGCAAGCTCCAAAAATTCCCTCCTGCTTGTGCAGAAAGCTGGTGCTGGAGTTCAGATGGGTTTGAACACTCCACTCAGGCCAGTAGGTGATTGTTTCTAGAGTAACTGCACAGAGACTGGCTGCTCATAGGGTGAACCTGAGACAAAGACAGAGCCAAAAATGGAAATGTGGTTGGAAAATTTGTGGTTGAAAAAAAATGTGGTTGAAAAAAAACAAACTACTGTTTGGCAGGAAAGGTTGGGCAAAAGAAGCAAGAAAAGTAAAGCTGTGTGATGTGAAGCAAAGTGTCTTCAGAGAGCCTTGCACACACACACACAAAGAAAGAAACAGACCTGCAAACCAAGTGTTGCATCACTGCCCAGGTCCAGGCTACAAGGAGCTGCAAGAAGTGAGACTGTTCACAAAGGGGTAGCTTCTCAGAAGATCAAAGAGGATGAATGTGAGAAGATGCTTCTGGAGAAGATGAGCAAATCCTTGCTGAGAGGGGTGGGGAAAGAGGCAACAGGGTAGGCTCTGTAAGTGGAAGAATTTGGCAGGTTTTCTGTTAGAACATCTTGACTGAGCAGCATGGCTCCAGTGAAGTTTTCTATTACAGCTGCAGCCTGAGACTTCCCTTCTCCACAAGCAGCACAGTGGTGGTCAGCACTTTTCCCCTGATTAGTGTGGGGGCCCATAATCTCTCCTCTCCAGCTTTAGCTCTTTCACTGTGCTCCCTTCCTCCCTGCATTTCCTTTCCTACCAGCTGGAAGTCTTCCTCCAGGTCCTGCACTCTGCCCCTTTGATTTCACTACCTCTTTCCTT